ACACCACATCAATATCCTTGGAACGCGGTGTACCTGAAAAAATTCTATCAATGAAGTATCCGAAGTCGCATAATCGACCCCCCTTTTATACGGACCTTCTCTTTTGCCTCGGTGAATGCCTGAAATCACCCCTTTTGATGCATTGATGTACTGAACAGTCGAGCAGCAAGCTTGATACCGATGTAAACCTTTTGCAAACATGGTTATTAATATTATGCCGAAGTAAATATTGCGACACTCGGCCTAGCTAATACCCTGTTATACACCCAAATCCCACGTATGGTTTGGTCGGGGTTGAAGCTCGTCAAACGCCACTTCAGCTAAAAATGATTTGGCGGATCCCGATAATTACCGAACACTTATTCAAATAATTCGGTTGGGACCATTCCATAATCGGACTCTGACGAAGTCCGGTGATTTTCATTTTAATTCCCGTACAGCCCTACAAATGTGTTGAGTTTTGCGAAGTTACTTGAAAACTCGCATGATCGACTCACACTTGTGGCTGAAATTCTTATAAAAGATCAAAATGGAATTCGGAAGGTATCTTTATAAAACCTTACAACTCGGATCATGATTTAAGTAATTCCGAGTTGAAGCAGTTTATTTACTGAAAGCCGAATTCAAAACACTTGGTCGAAAATCGCTGAAAGTTGAACGGCGAAACATACAAGCAAAATCAAACATATTCAAACACTTCATATATAATATTATTTCGAAATCCAGGGAATCCCTTACATCATATTTCATATTTCCTACTAAGGGAGTCGGCTATCCAACATCCCCGATTACGTACCATCACTTTTAAATATTTCCTACTAAGGATGCCGACATACCGACACCCCGATTACATAACTTAAAATACCTCAAGAAAAACATTCAAAAACACAAAAACAAGCAAAATATCCTAAGCATCTTCAGCCGGTTTTTCCACATTGCCTCCGGAGCCGCTGCCTTCTCCGACTTCAAGACCAGAAGATAATCGCTCCAAAACCTGCGATTCCTTTGCTTTAACAGCAGCTTCAATGGCCCCATCTGGCACCGGGATGAACTCGTCACGAGGATCAGACAAACTCCTCACTTCATCCTCAGCCGGTGTGACGGTCTTAACAAATTCCACCTCCTTGTCGGCCGACTTAGCTTTTTCATCAATGAAGGCTCTGACCCTGTCCCGAATCTGTTCCGGGGTCATGTCATCAAAGTGTTGTTCAACTTCTACTTCAGCGAGAGTGGAAAGATACACATCAGCCAGCTCCTTCATTTTTTCTTTCTCCTCCTCCAAAATCATATTGACATAGGCACGTCGGAGGAGAGCCGCCCTATCTTCGGAGAGCGATGGCAAGTCGGGGTTTACCTCCTCTGAACGGCGAAGCATCCATACACAAAATTCT